TTCAAGATAATACATTCCAAAAGTATGATCAAATTATTGATGTTCGTCTTTGAAGTGAATAGGTGTTAGGAAACTGGGACATATTAATATTAGTTTGATTCTAAGATATTTGGTTGTATCCTTCCTCTTATGAAGGGGCACTGTTAGCCAATCAGATACTCTTTCTACAATAAATTTGTGGAACAATGAGGATAGAGGAGACAAAGAGAGATCCCTATGTTTGATCAAATGTCTTGATTCTCTCTCTCTACAGTTTTCATTTCCCTTAAATTCTTCGTCAATTCTATTATGAAAGGTATATTCATAACATGCAAGGATACCATAGAGAGCCAGTTTGGTGTAGTTATAGAAGTGACTTCTGATCCCACCTTAGGCAGAAAATGAACTGGGCCAATATTACCCTTTTTATATTGGTTTTTTTTTATTGTTTGTAAGCCACCCAGAGTCACTGAGAGTGATGGGCAGCCATATGAACCCTTTAAATAAATAAGTAAATAAATCTCCATCCTAGGAAGAAGGCAAGGGCAAATCATTTCTGAAATCTTGCCAAGAAAACTGCAGGGATTTGACTCAGGCAGCTGCCGGGAGTCAACAATGATTCAAAGGCAGACACATAGCCTCTTCACCAAATCAAACAGCACCAATGGCAAACACAATGTTAAAAACAATGCCTCTATTCTTTGGTCTGTCAGTCTGCCTATCTGATGTTCGTGTTCACTTCATATGCAAATGGTTTTGACATCCATCTGCACTGCGAAAGTCAAGGGGATTTGTACCACAGAATTCCTATACTGTAGAGATTTCAGATCTCCTATGTCAAGGCAGGCAACTTTTTGATTGTTGCGATCCATGCTTAATATTTCTAGAATTGCTGAGGGTTGTAGTTGGTGGAGTTATCATATAAAGTTGGTTGATGTTCTTATTTCTATTGTTCCTCTGCTCCTGGGACTGGATTGGGGGTTCTTACTTCTTATGACAGAAGCCTATTAAATTTTAGACTAGTTTTTTTGTATTTCACATCAGAAAATGTTAGAAAATCATGCTATTGGTTTTTGGTAAACAAGAGTAGAAAAGTTATTTGTGGTGGGTTTTATTTCATCAAATGTGTATCAATTCAATCACAGTACGCTCAGTGACTCACAAAATAATAATGTGCAATAACACTATAAAATTAAACCCTGCCACAACATATGGAATCCGGCTCCCAAAATGTTCTGGGAAAGATTTGTCTTCAGCTTTTTCTCAAAGGTAGGAAATGTTAAGAGTGGGCAGCCATTCCAGGAGGTCAATCCCATCATCACCAAGCAACCCATCAAGGGGAAACAACAGCTGCTTCTCTGTATGCTTCTCCAGCAAACAGGAAGCCAACGCAGAGGTCCCAAAACAGGTGCAAATATGTACCCCTTGGTAAACACCCATGAATACTCTAGCCATTGCTTTTTGTAGCAACTGACACTTCTAGATAGTCTTCAAAGGCAGCCCCATATAGAGTTGTTGCAGTAGCCCAATAGGGTGATAATAGGGCAGGAGCCATTATGGTCAGATTCTTCCATCCCCTATAAGGCTGCAGTTGGCATGGTAGCCAAAGCTGGACAAGGCCCTATCTTGGTCATGGCCTGCACCTTCTGAGCTAGCGGGAACCACCAGTCAGAAGTAACTACAAGCCATGAACCTACTCCTTCAAGCACAGTGCAAGGGACAAAAGAGAAGTATAGAAGAATCCTGATAGAACAATAACTCTCTTTTCTACTTTCAGCCAGTTCTCTCCCCTCCAATTCACATAGCCATTCTATGATGCTATAATAGCTTTTAGGAGAGGACTTGATTATAATTCTGTGAGGTGTTTTTTTTTTTTGTCAGTTCAACATCTGTTTGGAAATGCTTCATACCATTTAACTTCAGTTCAACTTCTGGCACCTCAAGCTTATTATCTATTGCCCTGTCCTTCAGAGCAAATGCAAGCCATTTTTCTCTATTTCCCATCATGACAGCTTTTTATATTTTAGCAAATTGTTACCGTATTGTCCTTTAATTTGTTTTCAAAGCATAAAAATGAACATCTTGCTCCTTCAGCTTTCCCTCTTATATTTCATTTTTTCTTCCCCATGTTTTCTCCCCATTAGTCTTGCTTCTTTTTGGTTACTGCTGCTCAGACAATGTAGCATCCCAAGTTTGAAATTCTACAGATTTTCCAATAATATTCAAACAAAACATTGTATGTATTCACATGTGCTGCGTCTTTATGAATAGTTGAGAAAGCACTCTCTCTTTTTTTGCAAAATTAAATTGTTGCATTGTCATTCAATTTGTACTGATCCTAATTTTCCATGTGATGGAAAATATTTTGGTTTATGACTTTAGAACAATTTACTCTTTTAGAAATGTCAGTATATGTTGTATACTTGTAGATTCTTACATGTTGTAACGGGTTTGCTGCATTCTTTAGCTGTGCCATCTGTACTTTCTTTGAAACGGTACTTTCACCTCCCACATCCAAATAATTTATGAAGATGTTAATCAGTGTTAGACTGTGACAAATCCTTTCTACTTGATGCTAAAATCATAATAACAAGTGGGATTTTCAACAAAGTTTTCAGTTTAATATGTCTCTGTTTAGAATTTTAGGATACTGCATTCTATTTGTCATTTCTACCTCTGCCCCAGGCTATTGGCTGTTTTTCAGCATGAAAGCCTACAATCTTTTTTTTCTAAATATATATTTTCTTTAAAATTTGGTGAGGTTTTCAAGGTGTCTAGGCTACATAACAACCCACACTTAAAAATGCATAAAATTCAGGAAAAAAACCCTGTAACAGAGGACAGGTGTATGCTATCTTATGTCAAACAACAAAATTACTGTTTACAGCGAGTTATGAAGGAAAAGCCTTACATTTTGAAGAGCACTGGGGAAAAAGAGACATTTGCATTGTTATTAAAACTCCACCTTGAATATAGGGTGCTCCAAGGGAAAATATTTCTTCATTTTTAGAATAAGAAGTTGAAAACAGCTTATCTTTCTTAGCCAAAGAGAAAATGATGGATGGGGAAGACTTCCCCTCCATTTTTTGCTGTAGAGTCTAGTTATTGTGTGTTTAGAGTACAAGATTTATCCTGTTTTATAGGTTCATGCAACACACTAAACTGTAAACTATCCACATGGGTTAGCTTTGCACATTATGGTTGGCTAAAATGTAGTTGGTTAATTTATGTCTCAGTGAGCCATGCTAACATGACATATATATGGAGAGAAAGCAAGGAGAATTACTGTGCAGATAGCTAGTTATATTGTCAACATAATAATCCTTTTTTTTTTTTTTTGCTTCTACAACATAGCCATATGTGAAGTGTACTAGACAGAATACAAAGTTTAGCTTAGGTAAAAATGTGGTTCAGATAAACAGTATTCCTGAAACAAAGTAATATAAATCATATGCTGTTGTCTGTCATTGACTTCTAATTTTTCTTTGTATTAATTAACCACTCTAGATGTATTGTAGTGCCGTTTAATATCTGTAATGCATACAAAAATTGAACCAGATCTTAAAAATACAAGCATAAATTGCATAAAATTAATATCTTACCAATATTGAAGTCATCACCAAACCAAATAGAATGTAATGCCAGGAATCCTCAATGCTCTAACTGGCTCAAATTTACATTGATAGTTTACACAGATGTTTTGTGCATTTGAATGAAGTTTCTCAAAGTGCTGAACTAAGACTATGACACAAAGTTTGTTTTAGCTTTCCTGTGAATTGGACTGGATTAGGACCACATATAAAAGTCTATTTTTTATTATTATTAAAATATATGAAGTTGGATATTCTCCACTCATTCTTCTGTCAATAGCTTCAGTTAAATCGAAATCAGTTTCTTGTATTTCTCCAAAACAGTTTCAAAAATTATTTTCTAACTATTGATTTCTTTTACTAAGTTGATATGCTGCTCCATCCATGTCTGATTCTGAGCAGCTTGCAAACCTCCAAAATAGTAATAAAATTAAAACTAAACATAGCAGTTTAATTTGAATAATAAAATAATAAATAACATATAATGGAGCAGAAAAATATATTATGCTGTCTTCATCGGGTAAAACTAAAATGACACTGAAGAAATATATCACTTCTAAGTATATGCCTAAACGATTAACCCAGCCTTCCAGCCACTGGTCATAGGCAGCAGCTTTCAAACACCTTCTTCCTTCAGAAGTTTTTCCTAATATGTGAAGCCTGTTGAACATGGCTGATAAAGGTATTGTTATCTTCTGATTCTATTGTACAATAAACATATGTTGAGTAATCATTGAAGTGGGACATGCTTCAACTTGGTCTCCTCCATCTCACAGAATCATAGCTATGGAAAATAGTATATGAGGGAAAGCTGTCCTTTGGAATAAGAAGGGAAGGATACAAACATATGAATAAATATATCTTGAGTATATGAATGTCTTCAGAAAGATTGCTGAAAAATCAAATTATATATCTACTGTATTCCTATTTAGTACCAAATGGTTTATGCTGTGAAAGAAAAACACTATGGTAGTTTCTTAGCAAATGGCACTGGCTTCAGGTGAGTTTTATCTAAAGGCTGACACATCCATAACTTTGTAATTATGCTAAAAGCTTATTAGGTATTATAGACAATTTCATTAAAAGCACACATTCTCCAGACCTCCCATTTTTCACATTTAGCAAGGTGCTAAAAAGTTTAACTTACCTCCCCCACCCCCCAAAATGCTGTGCTGTGCTGAGAGCTAATTTGCTCTCCTTCAGTTTTGAAAGAAACTTTTCAATGAGTTTCTGATTCCTAGAAGGACTACTTCTTTCAGTAGATTGGGATATACTGTATATGAAGACTTGATGACTTACTGTAAATGTGAATATTTCTTCATATTATGCAGTTTATAGCTTCCTTGTACTAAATCATTATGTGTGATAAGTACTTCTAAAAATATCTAATATATATATCTATATATATCTTTTATTTTTTTTGTCTTACAGGCTTTTCCATGTATCTCAACAGGCATTTATGGTATGTAAAACTGACTGTGAATTTCTATATAACAAAGTTTTATGGCAATCAACTTGAAACAGTGTTTTTCCTCTATCGCTTTTATTGTTTTAAATTATACTCCATGAATTAGTAGGGCAGTCTACGCAGGTAAACTGTGCTGTGCTCAAAAATTACAAAATTAACAAAATCTCAAAGTATTGTTCTTGTCTTGCAAGGATTTATGAGTTTATATTGACAAGAATAAGCTGTTTTGATTGGATTCAAAACTGCCATTACTTTGATGTCAATAAAGCTCAATGTATACAACTTGGTGCATTTCATGTGCATAATGTGTTTCTGAAGCTCACTATAGCATAAGCACAATGATATGTCGCTTGTTACTATTTGTTCTACCCAATCCAGCAGATGGGGCATGTTCCACATCTCATTGGCTAAGGAGTGTTGGCTGGCAGGACCCAGAAGGAGAGATTTTCTTCTGCCTGACCTGCCCTTTGAAACATCATCCCTCTGAGATTACATTAGCCTTGTCCTCTACTGGCTTTCTGTAATGTCCTAGGACAAATAGGCTGAAAAACAGCTTCTATCTCAGGGCATTCGCTCTGTTGAATTCTACTGCATAGAACAGTGTTGGTGCGATGTTGGGGGTTTTCAATTCAATGGAGTGTGAAGGATGTGTGTTTGTGTTTATTTTCATGGTCATGATGTGCACTGAAGATGGAGTTTGATTTCGTTGTATGAGGTGCAGTGACAATAAACAAAACTAAACCAAAAAGTTGGGTTTCCCCCCCCACACCAATATCTATAATCTATTTTATGTGTTTTATCTGTTTTGTTGTAAGCTGCCTAGTGTTACATAAGTGAGATGGGTGGCTATATAAACTGAGTGAATGAATGAATGTCATGAAAAGAGAATCATGACTCGATTGTGGAGCATATGATATGTCTGAACTTCAGTTTCAGCATTAATCCTTTGCATTTTTAATAAAACGATGTCAGACTCCAGAACTAGTTCTTTATCGTGCCAGTTTAACTGGATAGAATTGTGCTATATGTATTAAGAACATCATTTGGTTATCCTGAAGCAATTTTTCTAGCTATGTAAGTTAACAGGGGCATTCTGGTGGCAAAACAATTAAAGCAAGTTTGTTTTTAGAAATACCTAGTTGTGATCTTATGTTTGATAATAAAACTGAAGGGCAGAAAGAAATTATTTCAAACTGCCTTGTACTACACTGAATAGGGAACTAGACTACGCAAATTCCAGGTCCTCTCAGCCTTTGTTTTCTAGGGCTCAATGATTCTTTTTCCCCAAGAGAGACAGAAGGGGTGGGTGGGGAATCCAGTGAATTATTGGCTAAAAGGACATCTTTTATATTTGTATGATTACCATTTTTTTACAGAACTATAACAGTGTAAATTAGAGAATAAGTCTGACTTCCTCTCAAAGTGAACATCCAAAATAAACCATCAAATTATCTGAGCTTTTTATTTTCCTGGTTAAATTATTTGTATAGCAATTAAAAAAATAGAGGCAGATTACCATATATTTGGTATATGGTATGTTCCATGCCGAGATGCTTTGGTAAGAAATAGTCTTTTATGTGTTTACTTTTGAGGAACCCCCCATATATATTGTATTAATAACAATTTAAAACATTCAAAGAATGAAAGATGCTGGATTTTATATATCAATGTAAACCAAAATTAAGCCCCATTTGAAAAACCCTTACAAATGATATACTTGATACAGGAAGACTATTATATCTTATGATTCCCTGGTAAGTTCTAGAAACTAAATTTCTTACATAACAACAAAAAATATTATTCTGCATTTGGTCCTGAAATTAAAACAAAAAGAAAAACAAAAGGTTTATTGTCTTATACTTTTTCTAGACATGTCAGTTACTTTTAATATTCTTTCCTGGATGTAGAAAAGGGTATGTGGCAATAACACTAATGAATACAAGGAGGCAATAAGATTACTGCACTGTTCTTTAAGTGTTTGTGGGGTCTGATTGTAAATAAGTTTAATTGCAAAGATTCAGAGTTAATCCCAAAGTTATCTCATTTTGCAATTGTAATTGGTTATTATTATTATTATTATTATTATTATTATTATTATTATTATTATTATTATTATTTAACTAGTATCAAAACAGAATATAGAAAAAAATCCTTGCTTTAATAATCTATCCACTAGAAAGTTGATGTATTATGGAATTATCTGGAACTTGCTTGATCATCATTATCATCATCATCAACAATCAACTAGATTTTTATTCTACCTTTTAAAAATATTTAATCAGTTCAAGGCAGCAAACATACCTACTATTCCTTTAGCTATTCCAGTTTGACATAAAAATGATTAAGCCTGTTATAGTTCTGATGAAAGGGTGAGCTTGCCCTAGTAAATCTTGCAATATTTGAGGCCTGTGAGAGATCCCATTCCTAGCTATACTACATGAATGATTTTGCCACTTGCTTTGAATATTAGAGCTTAAATGGATAGGCAGGTTAATGATTCACAAGACTTTACTAAAGGGATTGTGAAACAAACTCAGTTGCCATGTGATAGAACAACAGTTGCTGCTCCCAAATTTAATGTCTATGGAGAGCATCCAGAACATCTCTCTGTTGCCTCTCAAGCTATTGCATACCCTTAACTTCCAACATACGTAAGCACACCTATTCTGTCAATGTTTTAGTGCTTACTACCAATGAAAATGAAGCTGACCTATCAGAGATGCAAAAAATTATCTGACATGAAATGTCTAGTTAATAGCCATATACTATGTCACTGTTTTAAGAAAAATATAGAACCAGCAAGTATTTAAATCATAATGTGATATCAGTTTTCTCAAAATGTTAAGGGCATTTAAATTATCATTAGGCTAAGTGAAGGTGTCAAATTCCATAACCACCTTTTCAGAAGTAGAAAATCAGAAATGTATAAGGTACTAAACTTGTATAGGACATTGTAATGATTATAATCAGTGGTGGGTTTCCAATTTTTTTCCTACTGGTTCTATACACATGCACGCAGAGCTCAAATACCGATCTCTGTCAATGCTGGTGACCTGCCTGAACTGTTTTTTAGCTCAGCTGAGGCACAGCAATCTACTCTGACATGCAAGTTGAGCTAAAAACCAAGGAAATATAGGAGAGGTAATGGTGAGGGCAGGTGGGCGGGGCCAGTCAGAGGTGGTGTTTGCTGGTTCTCTGAACTGGTCAAAATTTCCACTATTGGTATGCCAGAACCGGTCCGAAATGGCTGAATACGGCTGAATACCACCTCTGATTGTAATTTGCAAAAAGGAACCAAACATTGGTACTCCTTTTATTGTTCACATTTTATTTATCACCAGCCATTCAGTTGCTTTCAATTCTCACAGATCAGCACTCCCTCTGTCTCAAATCACCTCCTTCAGATCTGCCAAGGTCATCCCAGTGTCATTTTTTTATGAGTACTAAAGGGAGCCCCTTCTCCTTTTCCCCATTGATCAATCCCAATGTGATTGTCTTTTTGACGGAGTCAGATCACATGACATGAGCAAAGTATGACAGCCTCTGTTTGGCGATCTTGGTTTCATGTGATATTTTTTGGTGAAGTTGAGTCTAGAATTTCTTATTTTTGCAGTTCATGCGATGTGTAATAGTCACCTCCAGCACCACAGTTCAAAGGCATCAACCCTTCTCCTATCTTTTTCAGAGTTCAAGACAGCCATAAGTAACAAATGGAAAAAAATACTGTATTAACTAATCTGCATTTGGTTGTGAGGCTGATGTCTTTACTTTTCGAGATGTTCTTCATGACAGACATTGCAGTTCTTCCAAGTGCAATATGTCTTCTGATCTCAGAGCTGCAGTCACCACTTTGGTCAATTTTAGAGCCCAAGAAGATGAATTCCTTTACTGTTTTCATTGTCTCATTATTGATTTGCACTCTAATCTCTGTGTTCACTGCAGTTTTTATTATCTTTGTTTTCATGATGTTAAGGTGCAGTCCAAATTTTTCACTTTCATCTTTGATTCTCAGGATTAACCACTCCAGATCCTCCTTGCTTTTCATGAGCAATGTTGTATCATCTGTACACCGGAGATTGTTGATATTCCAACTATTAATTTTAACTCCAATGGTAGATTCCTCCAGATGTGCATTTTTCATAACTTTCTGTGTACATGTTGAATGGTATAGATGGCAAGATGCAACCTAATATCTTATTTTTTATTGTAATAATAGTAAGTTTAACAATTAAATAGCACTTTTTAAATATACTTTTTATATATTATTATATCATTCTAGTGCTTTTCTGACCTTTTGATTACATTGCAAATCAGTTTGTAGGATAAAACAGAGAAAATATAAATGTATAAGTGATAGATTTTCTTGAAATAGAATGTGAATAAATCAGTAAATAGGCAAGTGTCATGCAGTTTTTTTCCACAATGCTTCTTAAAGACAGATAGAGCATCTTGTATCCACTCCATATTGAATCAGAAATTATCTAAGATTATCTGTGAACATTGCAAAAATTGAGAAGATATGTGCATATGTGTTTTCTGAGACTGCTAGGATTTAAAAAAGAAAAGCTGCCTATTTCCTTCAAAGCACACCGTTTTTGAAAATAACCACCGTTTCAAACATCCCTTTTCCTTTTCCCAATTGTTTGATTCAACCACGGGGAAATGTAGAATCAGTGATTTTTTTTCCCCCTTCCAATTTCCTTTCATCTGCCTGGGTAATTTCAATACTCCAGTAAATGCACAATGAGAACATATTATTCTCTACTTGGGGATTTCTATAGGTTGAACTTCATTCTCACAAAAGTTATTTTTAAAAAAAATATTTTAACATATTTGTTTGTTTGTTTCAAATTAACTTTTAGAAATCCTTAAGTTTCTCTCTATGAATGTAGCTTGGGAGATTTTATTTTTACCATCACCTCCATATCGTGCTCATAAAACAAGCTAGTCAACATCTAAATGAAAATCTGACTGGCCTCACTCTATGCATGTTC